CAAATTACATTTATTAACTCTATGTCCAAGATTTGATTCTCAACTCTTATTCTATAAAAACCTTTTTGTCAATTAAAACTCTGGGATAGTGGATAGTGTGTGGTTATAATTTTAAATGGATAGGGATGAGCTCATATGATACAATAAAAACATTTTGTTACCAGTGAGTTACTATTTTCAACGACCTTCGAGGATGTCTAATAATTAAAAGAGCTGTCCATCATTCTGTCCCTTTCAGTCTCTCCCTTAAAAACATTTCTCCTTCTCCACATGTCCTAACATTTCTGTCTTATACTGTATGTATTTAAGAGGCTTAAGAGTTTAGAGGGGTCTTTGTCAGAGTATTATTCCTCTTTTTTCTTTCTTTAAGAGCTTTCAGACATATACCTCCTTATCTGTGACTTTATTTAGAATAGCATACTACCATACTATTCTTTATTGATGCAGTATATAATACTGTTCTTACTATACATATTTTCTATATGCAGCCCACAATGCAATGTGCTCAGCTTGACCTTTAAATTCTAGCATGATGGAAGAACTGGAATATCAGTTGTGATTCTGTTTCTCTCTCTTCTTTTTTTATTATAATTTAATAATTAAAAATAAATTAATCATCTGACTGCAAAACCTTATGATATTTTTTATACAAAATTGCATTAAAATGCAAAATATTAAGATGATATTTGGAAACCACTTGCTGAATTAAACTGTAATGTGAGTTTCATTAGTGTAATTTACAGTAAGTATTATTTATATATTATTAATTATTAATAAATAATGTTTTGAATTAGCTTTTTTCATTTTAATTTTAGTTAAATTTAATTTTAGTTCAAGTAATTTGATGTGCTTTTGTAATTTTTATTCGTTTTGAAAAGCTTAAATTTATATTTATTTCAGTTGTAGGTTTAGTAATATTAGTACTTCAACTTACATTTATTTTCAGTTAGTTGCCAATGCAACATTTCTACTAAAGTTTTTTTTAAAGTTGATTTTTTAAATCTAATATTTATATTTTATTTTAGCCTTATTTTAATTACCAAAAACAATTTAAAAAGTTATACCTTTAGTTAAAAATAAACACTGGCCATCATGTGACAATGTTACTTCTATAATGTTTGCCATAAAATAATGCCTACTGTTTCATTTACTATTTTAATAAGTATGAAGTATACAGGTGCATCTCAATAAATTAGAATGTCATGGAAAAGTTCATTTATTTCAGTAATTCAACTCAAATTGTGAAACTCGTGTATTAAATAAATTCAATGCACACAGACTGAAGTAGTTTAAGTCTTTGGTTCTTTTAATTGTGATGATTTTGGCTCACATTTAACAAAAACACACCAATTCACTATCTCAACAAATTAGAATATGGGGACATGCCAATCAGCTAATCAACTCAAAACACCTGCAAAGGTTTCCTGAGCCTTCAAAATGGTCTCTCAGTTTGGTTCACTAGGCTACACAATCATGGGGACGACTGCTGATCTGACAGTTGTCCAGAAGACAATCATTGACACCCTTCACAAGGAGGGTAAGCAACAAACATTCGTTGCCGAAGAAGCTGGCTGTTGACAGTATATGCACAACTCCTGGATCACATGTCATGTAACAGACATGTTTAGCTCTGTGGGCAGCAGTGATTTCAGCGTGAGCTCAGTTGTAATTGAGTCACTGTGCTCAGCACCAAGGACAGCTCCTCCCTTCTCTAACTACTTGCATTTGCTTACCTTGTCTGAATTTTTCACAAAGACACTGTCATTGAGGCTAATAAATAACTATTTGTCCTCAGCATCTAAACAGTTACAAAATCCCCAATGATACCCAGTAAATCTACTTTTTTTTAGGACCTTGGCAAAGTAATAAAGTTAATTCTGTCAAAAGTGCTTACTGTGTGTCTTATATCTAACTTCCGTTCAAAAGTTTAGGTCAGTCAGATTATTTATTGATTAAAAATAAAAAACAAACACACATTTTTTTTATTTATCAATAAGTTGATCAAAAGTGACCGTAAAACACACACACACATACTCATGTAACAGACATGTTTAGCTCTGTGGGCAGCAGTGATTTCAGCGTGAGCTCAGTTGTAATTGAGTCACTGTGCTCAGCACCAAGGACAGCTCCTCCCTTCTCTACCTACTTGCATTTGCTTACCTTGTCTGAATTTTTCACAAAGACACTGTCATTGAGGCTAATAAATAACTATTTGTCCTCAGCATCTAAACAGTTACAAAATCCCCAATGATACCCAGTAAATCTACTTTTTTTAGGACCTTGGCAAAGTAATAAAGTTAATTCTGTCAAAAGTGCTTACTGTGTGTCTTATATCTAACTTCCGTTCAAAAGTTTAGGTCAGTCAGATTATTTATTGATTTAAAATAAAAAACAAACACAGATTTTTTTTATTTATCAATAAGTTGATCAAAAGTGACCGTAAAACACACACACATATGTTAATAAATAAATGCTGTTCTTTTGAAATATCTATTCATCAAAAGAATTTTCCACAAAAATATTAAAAAGCACAACCATTTTTAGCACTAATAATATTTTTTTTAAGCACCAAAATCAGCATTAGAATGATTTCTAAAAGACACAGAAGACTGGAGTAATGGCTTCTGAAAATTCAGCTTTGCCATTACAGGAATAAATTACATTTTAAAATATATTCAAATAGAAAAACTTTATTTTAAATTGCAATAATATTTTACAATATTAATTTTACTGTATTTTTGATCAAATAAATGCAGTCTTGGTAAATATAAGAGACTTCAAACTTTTAAATTGAAGCGTACATGTCTTCATAATAGTCTCCTGAAACTTTCAAAATCAGCGCTATGTGCACACCTGTACTATCAGCAGACACATAGGTGAGTGTCATGTCAAATTATATTCCAAGTTCATTTCCTCTTGGCTCCTTTAGGCTGAAGTGGCTGTGTGTTTACGTCTGGGAGGCAGCTGTGAAAATACTAACCTCAGTGGCACAAACTGCCAGACAAGCATCACCACCTGGTTTCACATCCCTGGTTCTGAGAATCTGCCTGTCTTGCAGGTCCTAAAACAAAGAACCAAATTGTGTACTTGTTTGTTCCAGCCTAACATTTCATTACATGGTTTTGCAGTTTAGAAATATTATGTGTATTACATTTGATTTATAATTAGGGATTGTTAACCATTCAATTTGTCTTTATTTTAATCTTACATACAGATATGAGAGAAAACAAATGTGACTGCAGATTTTTTGCTGTTGTGTGATGTTGTTTAGTACCTATGTGTCACTCTTTGCCTGTGTAACCACCTGCTCCAAACAACATGAAGATAGATTGACGAGCCACAGCATGCTTATGTTCATTCCAAGGTGACTTGATTGATACCCAAGGCTCTGAAATTCAATTTTGTCCTTGGCAGTGCATGCAGGATTGGCTCAGCTGGCAGCTGATGGTATGGGAGTTTGTTCCAGCCTAACATTTCATTACATGGTTTTGCAGTTTAGAAATATTATGTGTATTACATTTGATTTATAATTAGGGATTGTTAACCATTCAATTTGTCTTTATTTTAATCTTACATACAGATATGAGAGAAAACAAATGTGACTGCAGATTTTTTGCTGTTGTGTGATGTTGTTTAGTACCTATGTGTCACTCTTTGCCTGTGTAACCACCTGCTCCAAACAACATGAAGATAGATTGACGAGCCACAGCATGCTTATGTTCATTCCAAGGTGACTTGATTGATACCCAAGGCTCTGAAACTCAATTTTGTCCTTGGCAGTGCATGCAGGATTGGCTCAGCTGGCAGCTGATGGTATGGGGATCTCAGAGGGGCATGCAGCAGAAAATAAGCTGTGCACCCTTCTGGGATCTCTGTCCTGTTGAAAATAGTCTACATTGACTGCAGCACACAGCTACTCCACCTATGTTCATAAAGTCTGCAGTGACAGATGGGAATTCATGACTGTGCACCTCATACTCCCTGAGCTGAGCCTCCACCAGTCTGGGACATTAATCTCTGGCTGAGTAAGCCCCACTTCTCTGCAGACTCATCCGTTAAAAGGGAACTTGTCTGGCCTTGAGCTGAAGTCATCCTTTGTACTGGTCAACACAATATCACGTATCTGTGGAAATAATATTGATTGTTTGTTGTCAAGGAGAGATCGGAAACGCTAGTTAGGGATCATTTCTGAATGCACCTTGAAAGTGTTTGAAATAAAAGATCATGTGGAAGAGATATTCTTCATTTTTTCCCCAGACAAATGACTAATTAAAATCTTCAGCCTTTAATTACCACAGAATAGCAGCCTATATTAAAAATAAAACTTATTTATTGATGTTATGATAGTAATAAATGGTCATTTTAAAGAAAATGGTCTGGTATAGGCTGGTTGTGTAAATTAAAAATAGATTATACAAACCTCAAACTGACCAGTAATCTTTCAAGCTTTGAAAGGACCACAGAGCAGATGGTGTAGAATGGGTGTGGTTTAGCACAGTCGCTGCTCCTAAACTGGTCGTAGTATGTCTCCAGGCTGCAGTTTTCAGTCATACGCTGGTGATTTGTCCAGAAAATAATTACTTTTCGCTTCCGACAACTTAATTTCCCATGGTTCCAATACAGTTTTAAATCTCTGATGATTTATTTGAAAACATAAGAGTGGTGTAAATCATCGAGGCGTAGCTACTGGAGGAGAATTTACTAATCTCACTATGGCGAAGGCTTAACTTAATATTCATAACCCGTTGCTTCGCCATTGGAACTTTCGCAAGTAACGTCAGCGACACCTAATTAAAATTCAATGAGCAGGCATTCGCTATTGGACGGCAACGAAGAGACGCCAGCGCGATCTTATTAATATTCATACTCAAGCACTTTCTTATAGGAAGTTTACCGAGGAACGTAATCACGACCTAATGAATATTCATAAATAGGTCTTTGCCATAGTAGAATTAGTAATTTGGCTATCAGGAGCTCAGTTCATCGTTAAAACGGAGCGTGGGAGGGAGAACGGCGGAGAGCAGCAGCCGGGAGGCCAAAATGTTCATCAAACGAGGAGGTATTATCCAAGAACATTTGTTTCTACCAAACAAATAATGTGTAATTGGCGTCTAAATAGAGTGAGATGCGGAATGTGTCCTGATTGTGCCGCTTTCTCTACGGGATATTCTATGACCTATTGATGAGTGTAACAATGCAGTGTAATGGACTCATGCCAGAACTACTGTATATGTGCCCATCGTATACCAGTTTAGCTATTGTGTGTCGTGTTAGTTATCGCTGATGATTTGTAGGATGACTTTATTGTCATTTTTTTCTTCGATTATACTGTATATAGACCAATAATCAGTGACACATTTTTATACTGAAATTCGCACTTTTCCAGTTTATCGATTTTTGTTTCTTTAATATTAATTGTAAAGATGAGAATGATTTACATATTCCAAAACACTTTGCATAAATATAAATACATAAATTAAAAATAATATGGATATTGGTTAGTGGAACACTTCCATGTAAAAGTACTTATATCGGTCGTTAAAATGTAAAATGTATCATGATTTCGATCTCTGCTGTGAAGTGTAGTTCCTATATCGACCACGAGCCGTGCGTTTTAAAGGGACTTATAGCTAATCTTGGGTTTTATACGGATTGCTTTGCTAATTGGATATTGAAGAAGTAGGGCTAATCAGTAACTTTAATCGTCTTTCAATAAAGAGGCCAAGGATTTCGTTCAAATACAGTCATTAACTGTTGCTAGACCATTGTAGTGTGCATAAATGGGTTAGAGCAGTAAATAGTACACTTGAGTCAGAGTTGTGCTTGAAATCAGGGACACATGCTGTAGTACACTAGACTGACCTACACAGGCAAAATCCAGTAACGCTTTGTATACAAGTGTAAATTTAGTCATGAGGCAACTTGAGAAATTTCAGAGCAAATTCCAGTGAGATGTGTAAACAAATGCTTGTCATATAGTATTTCATAATAGACATACAGTAGTTTGTCAAGAGCAAATTAGAATTGTTGTTGTAATAGCATGCAACAAAGGTAAACAACAACAAATGTGCGACCATCTGTGATCTTAAATGATTATTATTAAAATATTCATAATGTTTTTGCTGCAGTATGCTAATTAGTTATCATTGTGTAAAAAGCAGGAATTAAACAAAAAATTATTGTTGATTGTAATTTATATGTTTAAAGGTATAGTGTGGATGGCTTATGGCTTATGTAATTTATGTGTTTATAAGTATAGTGTGGATGGCTTGATGCAGCAAGAAACCAAAGTGGTCCGTGGGAGTGGATCTGATGGCCTCAGTGGAGTTACTCTACATAGATAATAGAGGGGGGAGACCTGATCCTCCCAGAGTACTGGATTGGTCTTCAAGTCCACTTCATGTTCACAGGCTAAGCAGTTCCGTTGAAGAAGCTTCTCCCACTCTGAAGGCACCTGCCTGTGAGGGACAGTGTTATTCAGCACCAAGGACGGCTCCCGTCAGAGGACAACATGGCCAGCACCGGCATCAGCCCCTAGAGAAGGTCAGGGTGTGTTGTGACGAGGAGCTGGAGACCTCGTTCACTTACATCGATGAAAACGTCAATCTCAGGTTGGCCACCCCAGACACGAGTGAGAAAAGCGCTCACCGTGCGACTTCGTTCCATGACTCCTCAAGCGAAATCCGTCCCGAGGGCCTCCAGGAGTTGTCGCTGACGTCTGACATCGACCTCAGCTCAGAGAGTTCGGGGAAATCCGTGGATTACGGATTCATCAGTGCAGTCACGTTCCTCATTACCGGGATTTCACTGGTGATCATATCATACACGGTCCCTCATGACGTCAGAGTGAACCCCGACAATGTCTCCGCACGTGAAATGGAAAGACTCGAGAACGAGAGCGCCAGGATAGGCGAGCACCTTGACAAGTGCGTTATTGCCGGCCTTTGCTTTCTCACCTTAGGCGGAGTGGTGCTATCCACTTTGCTTATGATTTCAATGTGGAAGGGTGAGATGTACAGGAGGAAAGCCTTTGCTTATTCGAAGCACTCTGCAAAGCTCTACGGGTCGATTAATTTAAGAACAAGATCAAGTCCCAGCCGCTCATCGCCACCACGTAGTTTGGTCGAGGAAGAGAATGACAATGCCATTAGTTAACTGTTTTCTCCATTTATCTCCATTGGACTGCCAACATAACATTAACCTTTCCAGCATGGCCAAAAGAGCTTGTTTTTCAACCTTGTATCAGTGACAATTGCTTACTGATGCAGAAAAAAACATAATAACGGATAACAGATTTCTCAGGCTTCAGAAATACACAGCATGAAATCATTTATTAATCATAAAGCAAGACAGGTTAGAAACTTAAGGTTGTGTGTCAGGAAGTTAAATTAAGTTCCTTAAGAATTAAGACAAGTAAATTAATTAATAGTATTCAAACCTTTACTTTCCAAGCTGAAAATGAGAGATCTAAAATAAATTAGTTCTGTTGTACAGAAACCTGCTGCTAATACTGACAATCCTACTGCCTCTTTCTTACTCTTTCAGAATACTGAAATGTTTCCACTTCAGCCCTTTCATCATGGTATTTAGAGTGATTTAGGGCTACAGTTTCTGGTTTAGAGCACTTCAGATCCTCAGAAAGCATTGAGAAAGCACTGAGAAAATGCCAGCATATAACTGGGATGTTTTTTGCCATTATTTTCTCATATTGTTAGTCCATGTGTGGAATGGGCCATGCAGAAATCTAACACTCTCGCCGACCTCACCAAGCGCTAAAATATTTTATAAATATTTAATGGAGGAAGCTGCCACACAATGATTTGCTATCTTTTGGAAATTTAAATCCATCTCTGAGAGAGCAAAGCATAACTATTGTATCTTCACTTATACACACAGTTGAACCTATAGGCTCTCAGTATGTAACAAGATATTGACACAAATGGAAAAAAAATGTCTGCGCTCACAGGATTTATCATAAGACTTACAATATCAAAAACATATCGGTGTCAGTGCATACTCTGATGATTAATGACAGTTCATAAAACTCATAACTTACAACTCACTTTCTGATATGAAAATAAAATTATATTCTTGATTTTGTGTGTCATTGCTTGTGATAAATCATTAGCTTGTATTTGACTGCAATAAGTGACTATTTAAAACCTGAATTTAACATTTATGATCATGAATCTGCTGTTTGACCCCTAAATTGTTTTGTGCATATTTTTGAGATTCCATCACAAAGAAAAAAGCAACAAAAAAAAGAGCAAAAGACTGAATCAAAGGCCGTCTCTAAAACAGTGGCTGATCATAAGTAGTTCCATTGAGACTTCTCCTAAAGATATTTTAGCTTTAAACTCTACTTAACTTTCTGGTGTTTTCACTGTATATTATGAGTTATCAAGCACTAAAGCAGCGTAGATGCTTCAAATTGATCAATAACATAAAAAGCAATGTATACGTATCAGACTGACTGTGATATAGCCTAATGAATGTTACAATTTTACTGGAAAATTACTTTGTGCATAACATCTTTCTCACAATGAGTGAGATCCAAATTTAAGGCCTATAAGAAATGAGTCACTGGTAATTGCCCACATTATCTAGGACGGTCCTACCGGGTGTCTCAAAGGGAAATTAGAAATAGACAGATAGTTAATAGAATGACTTTTAATAAGCTGATTTGAAGGTAGCATGTAAATGGCACAGTTAGCAAGATAGCCAGAGAGCATATTTTTACCCGTCATAGAATAAACGCTAACAAGTCATGTTTGCCTGTTGAAGATAAACATAATAACGCATGCTTTCTAGTTTAGTAGGCGCGTGGAATTTATATAAAGCATGGCTGTCTTTATTTTTTCACGAACGAATGTTAAACTAACCATTTACACATATTTGAGACCGACTGTATGATTAGTCAAAGCACACATTTACAGATTACAAAATAGATGCTAACAGAAGTCATGTTCGACTGTGAGGTAACCTAACAGTTAGCGCGCTTTCTATTAGAATTTGGTGCGCGGTAAGTATTTAACACATAACTATTATTTTTGACGAACAAATGTACAATTTACCATTTGCACATTTTGACGCATTTTCATTTGTTCTATTTACAGTTCTATTTAGAAACAAAGTAATTCACTCCCTTAACCACTCTCTGCACCTTAGGTAGGCCTACTGTAATAAAAATCGTGTTTCTGAAGTCCAGCATGTCAGTGGTAGGAATGCTGAAAATAGCAATGCTATTCATTTCAAACCACAATGTCATGTAAGGGGACACCTAGTTTGTGACTTCCATGACAGCTTACCTCCATCAGCCATATGTTCTAAATAAGAAACCTAGGTTCTCTTCCTTTCTCCAAGATCATACATCAATACAGAGAATGAGGGTTTTTCTGGAAAACGTGCTTAGCACTGCAGACTTTACGGACAAATTGATCCAACTTAAAGAGGTCATATGATGCGATTTGAAATTTTTCCTTTCTCTTTGGAGTGCTAGCAGCGTAGATGCTTCAAATTGATCAATAACATAAAAAGCAATGTATACGTATCAGACTGACTGTGATATAGCCTAATGAATGTTACAATTTTACTGGAAAATTACTTTGTGCATAACATCTTTCTCACAATGAGTGAGATCCAAATTTAAGGCCTATAAGAAATGAGTCACTGGTAATTGCCCACATTATCTAGGACGGTCCTACCGGGTGTCTCAAAGGGAAATTAGAAATAGACAGATAGTTAATAGAATGACTTTTAATAAGCTGATTTGAAGGTAGCATGTAAATGGCACAGTTAGCAAGATAGCCAGAGAGCATATTTTTACCCGTCATAGAATAAACGCTAACAAGTCATGTTTGCCTGTTGAAGATAAACATAATAACGCATGCTTTCTAGTTTAGTAGGCGCGTGGAATTTATATAAAGCATGGCTGTCTTTATTTTTTCACGAACGAATGTTAAACTAACCATTTACACATATTTGAGACCGACTGTATGATTAGTCAAAGCACACATTTACAGATTACAAAATAGATGCTAACAGAAGTCATGTTCGACTGTGAGGTAACCTAACAGTTAGCGCGCTTTCTATTAGAATTTGGTGCGCGGTAAGTATTTAACACATAACTATTATTTTTGACGAACAAATGTACAATTTACCATTTGCACATTTTGACGCATTTTCATTTGTTCTATTTACAGTTCTATTTAGAAACAAAGTAATTCACTCCCTTAACCACTCTCTGCACCTTAGGTAGGCCTACTGTAATAAAAATCGTGTTTCTGAAGTCCAGCATGTCAGTGGTAGGAATGCTGAAAATAGCAATGCTATTCATTTCAAACCACAATGTCATGTAAGGGGACACCTAGTTTGTGACTTCCATGACAGCTTACCTCCATCAGCCATATGTTCTAAATAAGAAACCTAGGTTCTCTTCCTTTCTCCAAGATCATACATCAATACAGAGAATGAGGGTTTTTCTGGAAAACGTGCTTAGCACTGCAGACTTTACGGACAAATTGATCCAACTTAAAGAGGTCATATGATGCGATTTGAAATTTTTCCTTTCTCTTTGGAGTGCTACAAGCTCTTGGTGCATAAAGAAGATCTGTAAAGTTGCAAAGACTAAAGTCTCAAATCCAAAGATAAATTCTTTATAAAAGTTAAGAGACAGCCATGCCTACCTAAAACGGCTCATTCTAACACGCCCCCACATGTCTACGTCATGATGTGGGAAGATTTGCATAATGCCGCCCAAATGTTCACGCAAAAAAAGAAGGTGTAACATCTCGGTTACTTGTGTAACCGTCAGTCGTGACTGACGAATTGGGATCTCGCCCGAGAGCCCAATCACCTTCGAGTGTAAACTAAACAAGCCAATGACAGTTGGCACATCAGTTTTTTGCTGAGGAGCCGAGACTACGCTCCCTGGCCGTACACTACACCACACGGGCACCTAGCCCAGCACAAGGGCTGACCTTGGGCATGCACAAGAGTGCTGAGCCTGGCGTCTGGCGCTCCGCCACGCCTGACCGCCGAG